TCGATAGGTCGGGTTTTCCTGATAAACTAGCGTATCATCAGTATTCTGTCACTATCGGTAGAACGGTTTGGACCAGTCAGACCGGTTTAGACCGGTAGCAAGGGGGAAACAGCTAAAATCTGATTTTTTTGATTTTTCTGGTTTGTTTTATTTTTTTGATTTAAATCAATTGATTTTAAATCAACAAAATGCGAAAAGAAAACAAAAAAATCAAAACAGAAATCAGAAAAATCAGAAAAATCAAAAATTCAGAAAAATCAAACAAAAAATCAACAAAATCAAAAATATCACTGAAATCAATAAAATCTAATATCAGCTGCTCCACCCTTGATTGATGTTTTGAACAACAGAGATTAAAGATTTTTTGATTTTTGTTGATTTTTTTGATTTTTCTGATTTTTTTTCTGATTTAAATCAAAAAAATCAGCGGTTTCCCCCTAGACCGGTAGACCGGTCAAACCGGTATACCGGCCGGTCCGGTCCGGTCTACTTTTCTCCAGACCCGCACCGGTACCGGTCTGAAAAAAAGTGGACCGGTTCCATCTCTGCCTCGGAAGACATCATAACAAAGTCCGATAGCAAGCTCGATTTACTTTTGAATAGTCTTATTGTATTGATCGATATGTGGCAAACTGATGTCTCGGTTATTGCTTGGATAGACTCATCGATGCAGTACCGAAAATATGACGGACTTTATGAAACGAACACTGCAATCATGTAGTATAATAACGGACGTTGAACGATGGATTAGGTATCACACTATTAGGTAGATACAAGAGAGAAATCCTGGTCTGTAAAAGGGGAAAACATTTTACTTGTCATAAGAAGATGACAACATGTAAAGAAACAATGTTTGCCATTTTCATTATAATAACGCGAGCGTTATGTATTCATCAGGTGCATTCTATACGGTCTGTTAATACTATCTAATAATCGCAATAATGTTCAAAAAAGTATTAGTAAAGAAATTTTTCAATAGAGACTATCTTGAGGCATCGACGCTATCAAATCCCTCATGGTACCCCAAACCGTATGTAAAAGTGTTGTTATTAAACTTCTCAAAGAAGAAAGAACTTAAAGATATGGCCTATCAGATACATTCAACTGGTCTCACTGCATCTGAAATTCTGTTATTCAACTATATTCAACTATTTTAAAATATAGATTAAATATCCACTTACGAGGGAAGCACCCGAGGTGATACCCTCTGTTTGAGCTCATATTTGGTCCAAAGAAAGGCCTCAGTGAGACTATCAAAAGCCTAGAAGGGTTCCTGCCCATGAGCTTTTGAGACTGAGGTATGACCGTTTTACTGAATTTTCGACTAATTTTCAGGTATTCACCGTGAAACTAAATAGCGAAGTTTCAAGCTAAAATTTTGCCCATAGATAACTCTGATGACTTTAGGAATATCCTGAAAGTTTCAGCCAAAAAGAATGTTTCTTTCTCGAGATATTGAATCGTCTAATCAGTTCGATTTTTGTGACCTTCCTGCGGTAAGTTACTATTTTTTCCATATTTAATATCTCGACAAAGGAACATTCTTTCTGACTAAAACTTTCAGGATAGTCCTAAAGTCATTAGAGCTGTCTATGGGCAAAATTTCAGCTTGAAACTCCATTATTTGGTTACACAGAGAATACCTGAAAATTAGTCGAAAATTCAGTAAAACGGTCATAACTCGGCCAGAAAGGCCCATGGGCAGGAATCCTTCTAAGCTTTTGATAGTCTCACTGAGGCAGATCTCTGGGTCAAATATGAGTTCAAACGGAGGGTATCATCTCGGTTGGTTTCCTTGTTAGATGCGATGAATTTATCCAAGCAATAACCGAGACATCAGTTTGACACATATCGATCAATACAATAAGACTATTCAAAAGTAAATCGAGCTTGCTATCGGATATTGTTATGATGTCTTCTAACGTTTTCTGTAGACAAATAATTATAATGTACTTCTTATTGAAGAGATATTACGAGTTCTCAGAACTTTTTGACTGCCCTATGTATATATATATTTGTGAAAGAAGTAGAATGTACGATGGTACATTTCTTTCTTTCTATTCGATATAAGCAATTACAATTGGTCAAAATTCATAATTTCGTTTTCTCTAATCATTTTGCATCAATTGTTGGCACTCTACGAAACAGAAAACTACAGAGAATAAATCTTAAAGGTGTGTTGATATTTTCACATATGCCGTATGCATCTATAACATGACTTTTAATATTATAAAATCGGGTATGAAGTCCTACAGTCAAAAAGCAGGCTTCATGTATTTGAACAATGTAATAAAATAATTGATATATCGAATAAAAAAGATAAAAACAACTCCTGATTTTGATTTATTTTTCGATTAGTTTGAATTTTTTGATTTATTCCTTGATTAAACCGATTAAACTGATTTTTTCGATTAAAACGATTTTTTGATTTAAAGTTTGATTGAAATCAAAAAGATCAGCTATTTCCCCCTTGTATTTAATACTGTTTGAATGAAATCCAGTGAATTTTTAATCAATCATTTATGTATTCTCAGTTAATAAAGGAAACTCTTTTAAAATCATAACCTAATAATCAAGAAAAATGAGATCTTCTTCAATTTTTTCGTTAACAATATTCCAAAAATAAATACGCTTTAAAAATAATCGATAAATTTCAGAAAAGAATCCGTTTGAACAGATGGAATGGTTAGATTTTCTTCTTTCCTATGTAATAGTATTCGATTATTAATACTCGACCAACTGACCAATGGAACACACATATTACGTGAAAAGAAAAGAAAGAAAAACAATCAAATTTAGATTTCTTTAAATGAATGTAAAGCATTTATAACTGCATTCCTAACGATAAATAACAGAGAAAAAAACAAATATCACTAAAATTCTTTTGTTTATAGGAAATGAAAAATGTTGTCGATTATCTCACTTTAGATGATATTGAAAAATTATGTATCGGTCGATTAAATCAATCTGTTTGATACTGTGTTATTCATTTTTTAATAATAAAAATATTGATGTTCAATCTCTCTTTGTTGCCTTTTCATTTGATATACAATAAGAAATATAGATTATATATATTTATATATAATGAGTCCATCTGGTGGAACATATTTTCATATGGATATGAAAATATTTCAAAAGACGGTTTAAAATTTTCTTAGTATGAACATTAATATTTAAATAAATGAAAAGAATCTGTAAACTTGTGTTTTTTTTATAGAATGAGCTAGTCGTAGATTGATTTGTTTGGCCTATCATTTTTTCATGTCATTAAGTGTACTAGAGAAAAAAATATTTTGATGTTCAAAAAAAACAAGTACGAAGCAAAAGAATTTTTCTAGTACAAAACAAAATTGATGAAAAATAAATATTTGAAATTAATAAATAAATTAATTGTATGAGAATGCGTGTGCCTTTTTGCATATTGTATATTGTTATTGTTCTGGCTTTTTACATAATAAAGAAAATATTCAATTGAATTTTTAAGTTTCTTATGATTCTTTGTTGTTTGATCTTCGGTGCTGTGTGTGCTATAGGTGAATATGAAGAAAAAATGACATAAACATTTATTCATCTGGTAAGTTTAAAAAAACTGAATGCTATTTTCTGAAAAAAAAGATTTTCTAGGAAATTTTTTTTTAGTCATCTTTGCATCAGAATATGTTATTCGTGTTTAGTCAGCTGGTGTTGTCGTGTGAAATTTAAAAGATGGATTGAAAGATTACATTTTATAAGAACATTGGTTAGTTTGATTGATTTATTTGTTGTTCTTGCTTCTTCACTTGTCGCTGGATTTCATATTTCCGATTGAATTGGTTCAATTAATTCAAATATTAATATCAAAAGATAAAACTTCAAGCAATGGTTTTTATTCTCTTCTACTTATGGCAGCATCATTCATAATTGGGTAAAAATAAAATAGCCATTTTCTTGATAAATCATGCTTTCTCTTTTTAGGATAATTCGTTTTTTTTCAAATTTTGCAAATGTTACATGTTCATCATATAGCGCATGCATGGAAACTTCTTAATGTAACATATCTTCATCGAATTGAATTTATTACAACAACGTATGAGTTTTATTGCACTTCTTACAGTATCTTAATTTATTTGGCTGAATAAGATAATACTATCAAAGAGGCAAAATCATATGAATCAGATGCTGATATGCCTTGGTTTGGTATTGTAACTCGTAAACAATATTATTTAACGATAAAAATTGTTAGTTAGAACGTTTTATTCGCTACAATTAAATAGGGAGATTGTGTTCCTCATAGATGTAAATGAAAAAAGATGAGGTCAAGATTCAAATTTATTCTTTAATGTTTAAATCAATAGGCGCTGGACGAATTGTAATAGTTTGTTTATCGACGATTGGTATGGCTGTGATGATCTGTATTAACACACAAGATCATATACCATCCTTATCATCTATCTCTCTTCTTTCTCTCTCTCTCTTCGTCCTCGTGTATATATAAAGACGTGCTTTTCACTTTTCGACGGACAGTGTTCGTATGTAATAGTTAGAGTATGTGTGTTCCTCTTTAACATATTTGTTTACTTTTCTTCTATTCATTATTAAAAATAAAGTCTTTTGCCATTGTTAAACCTTAAAAATGGCATGTTTTTTTTTAGTTTGTCAGATGTAAATGAATAATTAACTATTAACTAAGGTAAATTTTGTTTAAAATTACTAGAAAAATTTAAAGAAACAATTCGAATAATAAGACGAATTAAATTTTTTTTGCACCCATAACTCTCTGTATATTTTAGATCAATAAAAAAGATTTTTCAATGTCAAATAACGACAAACTAATTGACCGTGTGAAGGTACAGATGCATGGACACGGTATTAGTCCGGGCATCATTGAATCAGATTCATTTGGTACTTGTGTGTTCTTTTTATTATCTTTTCAATTCAAAGGAAAACCACAATGCTTTTTGTACCACCACTCGTTTGATTTTGATGAAAGTAAACTTAGTTTAACAAATCTCCTTGAAGAAATGTTACATAAGATTTGGCAAAAACTTAAAACAAGTCTAAAAATACGAAAAACAAAGCGTGGACATACACCTAATATTCCAATTAATGATGTGATTTTAGTTGTTGGTGGTGGTACTGTGGACGAAGCTATTCGAATTAAAATGGCCTTTTCATTATTGAATTTGGGACCAATGCAAGAAATAATTAAATTATTTACAGATCCTGATGTTAACTATTTTTATCATCATCTCTTGTTTCGAACAATTATTATACAATCAATAACAAAAGATACAAAACAAGAAGAAGAAGACGAAGCAGGTTAATTTTAATTAATAAATAATTTTAAAATAAACGTCAATATTTAATTTATTTCCAGGAATTGAAGAAGAAAAAGCAATTAAGGCTATTGATCGTGAACCAACATCAATTACTGATACAAAAGATCCACTTTCAGCTGAAAGTCATGATGAAATAAAAGATATGAGTGAAAATGATGATGAAATGGTGGAAACAAGTGATACGAATGAAGGGGAAACAACAGGTAAGTCATATCAAATAAATAATATAAATGAGGAATGAGATTCATGTTTTTTAATTGATGAAATAGAACTTTTGAAATATCCTTAGTTTAAAAAAAAACAATATTTTTCATTAATTTTTAGCTCCGATAACGGAATATATGGTTGATTATCCTTCGTTAGAATTGGAATATTGTTGTATTACTGATGTATTAAATATGGATATCCTTTGGACGTCTCATAGTAAAAAATTTTATATGGCAACAATGAAAGTCAATTTGAAACCTGGTTTATCTTCACTATATATATGGAAAAAAAATGAACAAGAAATAAATGAATTTTTAAATATAGCTACATTTGATGAACAAGAAAAATTCCATGAAATTTTGCTCTTATTATCAAATAATCCATTGTATTGTTTGTGAGTACGAGTTCATTGTATCAATATTTATTTATTCTTTGTCTACTAGTCCACATATTGTATGGAATATTAAAATTGGTATTAATGGTTTCGGACGTATTGGTCGTCTTATTTTGCGATGTGCAATTCAACAACGTATTCAAGTAGTTGGCATTAATGGTTAGTATGATATATTTTGTTTGTTTATCTCTCTAATAGAATATGTTCTTATAGATCCATTTATTTCTGTTGATCATATGGCTTATTTGTTTGAATATGATTCAACACATGGACATTTCAAGGGTGAAGTTTCATTTAAAGATAAAAAACTTATTGTTAATGGTCAAGAAATCAGTGTTTTCAATGAGTAAATATTTAAAATCAATAAATTTTAATGTTGAATTATATTTTATTTTTAGAGAAGAACCATCAAAAATTCCATGGAATCAACTCGGTATGTTTTTTTATCTGGATATTGACAAATCCATAATTGATTAATATGTTTGTTTTTCTTAAGATGTTGAATATGTTGTTGAATCAACTGGTTTATTTACAACAATTGATAAATGTCAATCACATTTACAAGCCGGTGTTAAAAAAGTTCTAATAGCAGAATCATCAGCTGATGCTCCAATGTTTGTTATGGGTGTTAATGAACATACATATACAGAAAATGAAACAATTCTTTCAAATGCATCATCTACAACAAATTGTTTAGCACCACTTGTTAAAGTTATTCATGAAAAATTTGATATTATTGAAGGTTTAATGACAACTGTACATTCGTACACTGCTATGCAAAAAACTGTTGATGGTCCATCAAAGAGTGTATTTAATTAAATTACTGAAAAAAGAAGATTTTTATTTATATTTTTATGCCTATAGGGTTGGCGCAATGGACGTGGAGCTGTACAAAATATTATTCCATCATCAACTGATATTGCTAAAGCTGTATATTTATTTATTTTATTATTAATAAATAAAATAATTCATTTTTATATTGAATTAGATTGGAGAAGTAATTCCTGATTTGAATGGAAAATTAACTGGTATAGCTTTTTATGTTCCCACACCAAATGTTTCACTTATTGATCTTACTATTCGATTAAGAAAAAATGTAAGCTATATTTTTATTTTGTGATTCGATTTATTCTATTTTCTTTTAGGCTGAATATAAAGAAATTTGTGCTGCAATTAAAGAAGCTTCTAATGGTCCATTAAAAGGTATTTTAGCTTATACTGAAAAAGAAGTTGTTTCAACAGATTTGATTGGTAATACACATTCATCAATTTTTGATGCTAAAGCTGGTATTTCACTCAATAATAATTTTGTCAAACTTGTTTCATGGTATATTTCTATTTATTTTTTAATATATTTTTTAATAATATAAATATTTTCTTTTTAGGTATGACAATGAATATGGTTATTCAAATCGTGTTATTGATCTTATCAAATATATTGCTGAAAAAGACTATCGAAACAACCTTGAACAATTGCTCAAATGACCACGAACATATTTTAATTAGTTTTATCTAATCGAACTCTTTTTCTATGCGGTTTTAACTTTACAAAAGAAACTTTTTATTTGATATCTTATACTTCTTGTGTGTGTTATTATTTTCATTCACCGTCAGGAAGAGAAACAGTATGACTTTTTTTTTCTTCGAATAAATTTATATTTACGCTTATTTTTGCATGATTAAATCCAATTGACAATGTTTATTAGGATAAATTTTATGTTAGTTTTCAATAACACTTGGGTAAAAAAAGAAAATAATATGAGCTTGGTTTTCGTTTTAAACATAGCTGTTTCTCATTAATTATACTATCTGTATTTACTAGAATATGGTACAGCTCTAAAATCTACAAAAGTTATGGGCAACAAAGACCACAAAATGTAGTGAACGACAAAAATGAGATTTAAAAACAACCCAATAATATATGAAAGTTACGATTTTGATTGAATTTTAATCGTTTAATCCTCATAAAGGATACAAAAAAGTCTATACATAAAAGAATTACAAATTAATGAGAATAATATAAATATCACTTATTTTCTTACAGTTAATGACTAACCTAGAAGAATAAAGTTCGATTCATTAAATTGAGAACACAACCAAAGAAGAATATTGCAAAAACAGTCGCATATTGATCATGATAAAATAGCGAGTTTGATATGTTGAATATATTGTTTTATTCGCAGGCAAAGTGTTAGACTTGTTTATGCGCGAAATACAAAGATAATGAAAAACTACTACAACACAAAAGATATATAAAGCTTTTCTTTTTATTAAAACAAAACAACTATCGAGAAAGTCACAATTTGCTAAAAGAAAAACAACTTTGATAATTACAAAAGGATTGATAACAAAACAGCAAGTGTATTGAAAATGATTATGACGAATAACAAAACAGCAGATTAAATAATTGGAAAAGAAGAATGGCAGATCAATATGAAGAGAAATATCTCTGAAAATATATTACCACCTATTGTATCGATTTTTGAGATACATGATTTGCAAAATATCGTTTTTCTGGTTCTTTATTATCTATTGACTGTCGGGGTACTTCTTTAGCAAGTATTCGACTTCGCTGTCACTTTCACTGTTATTTCACTGCTTTCTGTCAACGTAGAGCATCAGCCAAAGGATTACCTTGGTTGTTATTTAATCTATACTGTAATTCTTTCTACTTGATAAGTGTGCTATACATTGATAATACCATGTAATACTTCATGTGCATGCCACTTCATAAAAATTAGGCTACATCACCATAATGTGTATTATGTCAAATCCGCATGAAATAACCTGAAATATTACTTATTGTCGTATTTCCTTTCATCAAGAAACTTTTGATTCTTTTGGAAAACTTTGGACTTGAAAATTTAACAATGTAAACTAGAGATAATTTTGTCGATTTCTTTTGACTTAAAGCGACGTTCACCTTTTTGATACTTTCAAATCAAAATACTTATTTTATATCGATTAAAACTCTTGAAATAAAACTTTTCGGAATTGTTATTCTATTTCAACTCAAGGTTTTGAATGGAATTATTTGCGAATTTGATTTAGAAAAAATAATAACATTTATCTTATTAGTATAATAATTAACTGTCGTATTGATTCATGTCAAAAGAAATAAAAAGAACAATGATTACAAACGAACTTTATGAGATCAGTTCAAAAGTAAAAAACTTTCTTTGAAAAAGATATCTCATAATGAGAGATGGAACCAGTTGAGTTTTGTCATCGCATTACTTTTTTTAATTTCTTTTTGTAGCATAAGTAATTTATTTGTCTCTCTTATCTCATTTACGAGTTTTTTTTCTGCTGTACTATAGTCTACCGCTTTACCTCATCAAATAGCGACCATTCTTCAACAGTTTGCGTGTGTATTTCGGTTCTATTAGACTTTAAAAAACTATTTTATTAAAATTATATATTAAAAATTAAAATTAAGTTTGTTGTTGTGGTGCATTATTTCTATTATTCAGCATCCTTAAGGGTTAATCATTCCAACCATTGATTGGTGCTGAAGGATTCATTCTCTATTCAAATTCTTTTTTTGAATATTTTCTAAGTATGTTAAATTTTCGAATAATATCGTTGTTTTAACGTTCAACATCTATTGAAATAAATGCTAGTCGTTTTCGATCAGCGCATTATCCTTGTCAACAGTCATCATTAATTAATGAAAAATATGTCATTAGTGAAACAAAACCTGTTTCATTAGATAATCTCTCACCTAGAGTTTTGTCAAATTCTTTCTAAAGATCCATTATATGCTGTTTGTTTTGGTGGTCAATTATCTGAAAATAAAAAATATCTTGTTCGACAAGATTCACGAACAATAGGTCGAGCAGAAAATCTATTTTCACAAATATCAAAAGATGATATTGTATCATCAATAAATGAAGATGAAGATGATTTATTTCATCCTCTAATTATTATGCTTTGCCATCCATAGAAAATCATTTTGAAATTGATTTAGGAACAGAAGATAAAACAATCCTTCCTCATGAAACAGCTTGTTGTTTTGGTTGTGCAGCATTACTTCAATGTGCTGATAAAAGTAAATCGTAAGACATTCTTTTCGAAATATAATCATTTATTTTTTTTTTAATCTATATTCTAAAGAGTTTATACATGTGAAAATGATAAATATTATCTTTCAACAAATTTATAAAAACGAACAAGTCAATGTCAAAGATGTTATCTTTTTAAATATACAAATGATATATCACATTGTGAAGTTAATGAACAAGTTTATAAAGATATTTTAAAAGAAATAAAACGAAAACGTGCTTTAGTCATTTTAATGGTTGATCTTCTTGATATACCAAATTCAATTAGTCGATCATGGTCACATATTATTGATCAATCGACTGAAAATCATAATACTTCACCAAATATTATATTTGTTCTTGGCAATAAAGTTGATCGTTTACCAAAAGGGCAGGTTTGTTTCAAATTAAGAATAATTTATATCACACAAATACTTTTAAAAGAAGTGAGAATGTCTTCAAATTAATAATAATTTTTTTTTTATTTTAGACAGTGAAACTTAGTTATCTGAAGTTCATAAATGTCTTGAAAATGAATGTACAAAACGTGGTTTAGGATAACATATAGTTAAATATTATGGTTTAATTAGTGCTCGAACTGGATATGTGGAATTGAAGAACGTATTTCAAAAATATTTCGTTATTGCTTACAACATAGTTTGTCATTCCATTCTTCGTTTCTTCTTTTTTACTTTAATATAAATCCGTAGGTGATGTTTATTTACTTGGTGATACAAATGCTGGAAAAAGTAGTTTATTTAATAATCTTATTGATTCTGATCTTTGTCATATTCATGCATTTGATTGTATTCAACGTGCAACTGTATCAAATCTTTCCAGTAAAGATATTTATTAAAGGATTTCTTATTTATTTTATTGTATTATTTAGGTAGAACAATGAATGTTCTTCGTTTTCCAATTCAATTACGAACTGGAAAAATCAATTTATGCGTGAGGAACGTTTAAAAGAACAAGAAGAAAATGAATCAATTCTTGATGAAAATATTAATTCAATTGAAAATGAAACAACAATTGCTCGTATGTGTCTGGTTTTTTTTCTTTCAATGAACAAAATATTAAAGATAAAATTTTAGAAAATGTTGACTCAACAGGAAAATGGCGTCGTCGATTTGAATCGGAAATGAATTTACCTTGAAGTGGTGTTGAATATACATATTCATCTGGTGAAAATTCTTTTTATGAAGATCGTTCATTTGAATCGCATGAACATAACTATATTAATTATCGACAAAAGAAAATGCGAGCTTTTAATCCTGATTGATATAAAAATGAAAACTGGCTTTTTGATACACCAGAAATTATTTTACCTGAACGATTAAAAATAATCATTAATATTTTAATTTATTCTTCTGTTGTTTAAGATGATTAATAAATGTAGTAATCAAAAAGAACTTTCATTTTTTGATTATCAATCAACTGTTAGTCGATCGATGAATATTTTATTAGATGTTGGAGAAACAATATTAATTGGTGGAATTGCAAGAATTGATGTTAAATATGTTAGTTTATGATTTTTTGGATTGTTGGTTTGTTTAATAATTGTTATTGGTTTTTTAGATCAGTAATAATATGCTCGAGCAAGTCTTTCTTTAATGACAACGTCACGTTTGCCAATTAATATTATAGAAACAAAAGATGTTGAACAATTTTATGAAAAAACTCTTGAAAAAAATCAACTTGGAGTAAATCCTCGCTTGTTATTATATACAGGGTGTCCCATAAGTAACAAGACAAGGAAAAAAAGTTTGAA